AGTTCGATCCTGATGGGGCTGAAGGTTGACTCAGCCTTCCATCCTTCCGAGGTGGGGAAAATGAGGACCCGGGTTGTTGGGGGCAATATGCTGACTCTGTAAACTGCTTAGAGAGGGCTGAAAGCCCTATGAAGCAGTATATAAGTCTAACTGCTATTGCTATTGCTATATGGGAAGAAGGGATCATTTGTTGCATTTTAAAAGAAGGGGATAACTTGCTTAAACTGTGAAGAATGTGGGAAGTCATTTTTTTATATTTGCTTTCTTTACCGCATTTTTATTTTTGATTTCTTTATTTTTTTCTTTTTTCCTTTTCTTTTTTGCACCTTTTATTATTCTTTAGGGTTTTTTACTGTTTGTATTAGTTTTTGTTATTGTAATTATAATTTTTAATAAAATCACTGTTAAAAAAGAAGTACATATACTAGTCTAGGAGTATACCCAGTTTTTTCATATGCTAGGAAAATAAGCTGAGCTCAGAGAATTTGACCAAGACATTAGACTGCTTACCTTGGTCAGCCCAATATAGCCAGGTGCCGCCATCCACTATTGTTAAACCAACAGGAATCAGGGATCTCTTCCAGAGTATTCTCTGCCTACTCCCATCCATAGCAGCACATTGTATCGTGGGATTGGGTATGCCATGTTCACCACCTAAATCCACAATGCACATGGATGCAGTTGGGGGATGCACCACCACAGTGGTTGGTTTGTAAAGACCATCACTAAGTACCACGTCCCTATATTTGCCTTCTGATGCTGCCACTTGGACAGATGTATATTTATTGTCAATCCAATAGATGTTGGCACTTAGCCAATCAAGTGCAAGCGATATCACAGTGCCCTCAACTGGCAGAATCTTCTTCAAAGAAGCTCTTCCAGCATCTTTAATAGCCAGGACTTTTATAAAGTCATCATTTGAGTCTGAGAAGTACAATGCAGCACTGCGTACAGAGTAGTCTACAGCCATCAGGTGAGTGACATTAATCAAGGGGAGAGTGCTGTGCTCAGGAAGTGCTGTCTGCCCAGCTGTGGAACGCAGTTTTTTCAAGTAGACCTAGAGTTCAATATTGGAAACAACATTATTATATTTTCAGTTTACAAGGGGCTGTTTGCATTCAGCAACCTGCTCTAAGACAATTCTATCAGAGTAGAAGCCTAGGAGTGCTGAAGCCCATACAGATTTTGCTACCTTGTGCAATGCTAAATGAAAATACTGTACAACAGCTTCTATTGATCTCTGTAACACTTGACTACAAGGGGTAAATTATCACTTTCCAACAGAATTTCAATAAGTTGTAAAAAAAGTGGCTAACTTTTGACTGAGTCACTCTTTTTGAGAAAGGTATTGTATTGTATTGTAATTGGTTTATTTGTATGCCGCCGCTAAGAGGTGTGTGTGTGTGTGTGTGTGTGTGTGTGTGTTTGTGTGTGTTTTCAGGACTGCTCTGTAAAAATTAACATGCAGTCAACAGCATTTACTTGTTACTAAGGAAAATTCAGATGGAAGCCACTTTGCTCGGCCAGCCAGTTAGACAGCTGTAAGAACATTTCATTTGGGCAACTTGGCTTGCAGCTGACTTATTCTCTTTACTATCCAGTTGAAAGCAATACCTGTGTAACATCTCTAGGAGCAACCAGTAACATGAATGCTGACTCCTTTAATGGAATGCAAGTCTTTCCATCACTTGATAACACAAATTCAAGTGGGCAATGGCAACTTCCTCTTTTGCTGGGGCTTAAGAGGCACAAATACGAACATCCAACTTCTACACATGGATTAGGGGCTGCTGGCTGCAGAACTTCATGCATCACCTGAAAGCCAAATTTCAAGAGCGTGAGATTGTTACATTAGGAGTTTCAGAGCATCTCTATTATGCACTTTTGTATGTTCCTCCTCAACATTTATTAAAGGAATGCACACTGTATAAACTATATTCCACTATTTTCATCCATCGTCCACTTGCATCATATGGCAAAAGCCTGAAAGTTTAAAAAAAAGCAGTCAATCTACTTTATGACTGTGTTTTTTTCAGTTGATAGGACTCTTAGATCAACTCCAAATCTATAACTGGTATGTTACTATCTTCTTTCTCATTTTTCAATTTTCAGAGCCATATATCACCACAGGAAAGACCATTGATAACAAAGATTTTAAAATAAGGCCAAGCAATATCATTCAAATAGCCTTATTCTTCGCGATTTTACATAAGTTTCCCATAGTCTTTTTCCCCACCATCTTTATGAGTCCAAGAAAACAAAACAATGTATCACTTTCACTTCTTTGCCTACTATCAAGTCTATCATCACTATAGGCATACTGGTTGACATTACCTTTGTCTTCTTAATATCAATCATTTTTTTTTTCATTTACCCGCTACGAAGGGAGATTGGGCAAATGAAATAAACTAGTTCTACTAATAGAGGAGAAATCTCTGAAATAAATTTGAAGATTTGAAGATCCAGGCCAAATACACTTGCCTTAACATTTATTCATTCCAAGCTAGAGACATCCCCTTGGCAAAGTAAAATAAAAATAGGCACTTGCTCTAGTAATCAACCTTTCCATAATGTGTACTATTGGTGCAATACCTTTAGTCCATATGGTTGTCCATGACTCTTTAGGAGAACTGTTCTATTTTTGGCTGTCCTTTTGTCTATCTTCTGTACTATCCTTGTTTGCATGTCAGACCAATAGATGTAATCTTCAAAGATACCCACTGAAAAGGGACTATGTATCTCATCCAGCTGAAAAATCTGAGAGAAAAACATTGTTGTTAAGAGATGCATCACAGCTCAGGGACTGAGATCTTATTTTCAGACAAACAAAAAGATCTGGAAGTCAGACACATTCTCACATTTATTTCCACAACTCTAGTCAGATATGGAATTCTGAAACAACATAGAATACTATTCAGGGAAGAGCAAGATTATGACATTATCAGAATTGACTCTTTCCTTTAAAACAAACAATTCAAATAAATTCTTGCCTGCTTCCAGCTTAGTCAAGTTTATGTACAGTAGGCAATACCTTCATATCACTACCATCCAAAAAAGCTGAGCCAATGGAGTGAAACTTGTCATCAGACCAGAAAATTCTCCAGCTCAAGGAGTCAATGGCTATGCTTGTGGGCCAACCTATTCCATCATCAATTAGCACTTCTTTATTACTTCCATCCATCCCTGCTTTCTTGATTGTGGATTCAAAGCCTATTTCACACCAGTACATAAATCTAGGAAAGAGAAGATAATATTATATATTTTTATAGAATGAAATTCAATTTCTATGGCTTACAATGCTTTCTAGAAGGGTTATTGACCACCAAGTTAGATGGCCTTCATTGTACATTTTCTTTAGGATACCAGACAAGGTGTCCCTCTGGTATTTCAGATGATTTCAGACTCTAGGGGAACATTAGCATCGGAATTCTTTTGGCTAAAGTCTCTTCATTTGAGTTTAATACTTCTGGGGACTAATCCTAACCCTTCAAATGGGCCATTTCATTTGCATTTAAATAGTATTAGAGCCAAACTAAAGAAAAAAATATATTATTTTACATCCATATCATTTAAAATTTCTGATAATCTGAGACAAGTTTTCACTTTGAAACTCCATTCCATTCCCAAGCTAAGGGTCATTTCTAACCCATGTGCATAATATACTCCATGTGTTTGTGTGCACGCGCATGTATATTTCTGCAACTAAGAGTAAGCAAGGTCACTAACAAAATTAAGCCAAAATTGAAGAGCTTCAAGTGGTTCAACATGGTATTAAAGACGCTAATTTAGGCATCTCACCAATAAAGGAGAAGAGCAAGAAACCATTTAAATAAAAAAAATAATGATTCAATAAAAACTCCAAGAAACATATTAGTTTTTAAAATTAAACTTCACAACCTGAAAACAATACCAGACCAGACTGCAGAGCAGGATGAATACATATAAAACTGGCTTGGAGGTTTAAAAGGTTTACTGCAGCCTTCAAGTGAAAAAGGGAGGGAATACTGCAATCTTGTGCTAAAAAAACCCTCTTCAGATCTAGCTAATATCCATCCATTGAACCATCCTAAAATGCATCTTTTCTAGCTCTTCTAACACTAACCTACAAAACAATCCTTTGATATGCAACTTCAACTTAGGATTTCTCGCCTATCCCATCATATTCAAGTGTGGAGAAGGCCCACACAGCTTCCCTTGACTCTGATGTGAAGGGAGTTTAAGGTGGCATCATTAGCCTAATGATGAAACCATTACAGACACTGAATAATCCCAGGAAAAGAATAGAATCCCCTTATTAAATGGACTGCCAGTGTATGCTCATCCAGTGCTTTTATGGGGCGCAGCCTTATGAATAGGCAGTAGAACAACTGTTACACAGCAGACCAAAGAAATTTCCTGATCAGAATCAGAACCTGATCCTACCCATTCGGACCAGTTCAGCCGAGTAGGTAGCAACTTGGCCTGTCACACCCCCGAACTGGCTCTATTGGTGGCGGCGCCATCTTGATTTTTGGTTCTGTGCATGCAGAGAACAATCATTGCAAAAAATATTTTTCCCTTTTCTAATGTTGTGCACATGCGCAGACCTTTTTGTGTGCTGAAATGGCAGTAATGCCAGCAGGAACCCACCCCTGATCAGAACGTCAAAATCTGGGAACAATCTTGCCTTTGGTTTTTAAATTTTGTATCTGAGATTAATATTTGAATATTTATTACTTTTATTGTTAATTGCCCAGAATCGCTTTGCAGAGTGAGATGGACAGCATATAAATTTAATAAATAATAAATAAATCAAGCAGAATCAATAGAGCAGTACTCCTGCTTTCTTCTCTCTAAAAATATCCATTTGCCTTATTAATTATGATTCAATCACACAATTGGACAGACCTGACCACACATCAACATGAGCCCAGACAATGTTTCCAGTCATGACCCTGTTAAATATCTTCCCTAAAAACACAACATTAGTGACTTAATAATAGGAGATAATTTTGGATGAACTCACCTATCCATCTTGTTTCTGAGATCTATTTTTAATTCTTTTGAACCATTCCCACAAGCCCAAACTTTGCGCAAGCAAAATATAAAAGGCTTACCCATCCAGTGGGTGGAGAGCTAATGACCGTGGTTGCTCCAGATTCTCAAGAACCATCGTATAGACAGGATTTCCCTTCCAAGTGATATTTAACCATGTAGCCAAGATCTGTCCTGAGGTACCATCAGTCCAGTAAAGATTTTTTCCTAACCAGTCCACTGCTATACTGTCAGATTTGATGCCTGTAATCAGATGTTTGAAATGACAGAAATGAATCTACACCAGTTTCCACAAAAACTAGGATCTCAATGCCATATATATTAGACCAGCATATGTATGTATGTATGTATGTATGTATGTGTGTATGTGTGTATGTGTGTATGTGTGTATGTGTGTATGTGTATGTGTATATGTATATGTGTCTGTGTGTGTATATATATTATTTATTATATATTATATATTATATAATGTTACAAATGTAACAAAGGCAACAGTAAAAATATTGGGTTTCTGTCTGGATGGTCTCTTGTGACGAGCTGATAGACAGAGAAAGGAAGCAGTAGGCTTCCTCCTATATTTGGGCATACCAGGGGTTGTGACACTAAATACATACCTATTTCCCTGGCTCAGCTGATAAAGGAGGAAAACCTTGTGGCTTAGTGGTTAACACATCTGCCTAATATGTAATACAGCCCAGGTTCGAATGGCTAGCTGATGAGAGCTAAATAGCTTGAAATAGATCTATACTAGTCTCCCTTTATTTATTTATCAACACAAATACAACATATATGTGTGTGTGTGTGTGTGTATGTGTGTGTGTGTGTGTGTATGTGTATATGTATATGTATGTATGTATGTAACCAAAGACATACATACTAATACCCGCGAAAACATCAGAAAACAAATATATACATATATATACATATATATATATATATACATACATACATACATATATACATACATATATACATGTATGTATGTATTTATGTATGTATGTATGTATGTATGTATGTATGTATGTATGTATGTATGTATGTATAAATCTGTGGTGATAAACATTGCTAAGATTTGCAAACATTTGAATGGAAAATATCAGCCAACATCTCTTATTTAGTAAGCAATTATAAAGCAGAATTTTATTACAAATTATTTTTTAAATAGCCATATTAAAAGAAAAAACATCCTGTTCAGAGGTTTTTGTGCAGAGTACTTTCGGTTTAAGCCTGACTCAGCTCCCAATAGATTGTTCACTGTTCACAATACCTGAAATCCATCTGCTTAGGGAATCCTCAAAAATACTCATACTTGACCAATACTCATAAAAGTATGCTTTTTTAGGGGCCCAGCTTTGCTGTTACTGTCCCTTTATATTAGTGTACACTGGAGGAGCATTTACATTTATACATGTAAGAAGCTGCAGATTTCAACCATCATCAACTCTACAGCAAGGAATTCTTGGCCTTCTGAGCAATTGTCCCAGGTGATACATAATCTTCCTTTGCCATTCATGAGGGAGTTTAGTAAAATAACCGCATGTGTGATGTGAGACTTTGTCAACTTGTATGTTTTCTTCCAGAGGAACTTGATGAAATCTTTCCTTCAGTCTGTCAGCTAAAACTTGCAGGCAGGATTAGATCTGTGAACCCAACTAGTATTGTTGTTTCTCAAAGTTATTTTGTTATAGTGTTAAAAGTATCAATTTAGAAATATAAATACTCAATTTTTCCTTAGCTTTTTCCTTTTAAATATAAGTAGATTTGAATTTTACTTTGTCTCAGGTGAACCTGTGAAGCTTCCAAGCACATGAGAGTATGAGTCAGCTTCAACAGTCAAATATGAGTTCTACCAATAGTTTATCTTGCCAAAGTTACAATTAAAATTAGTTTTGCCCTAAGCCACTAATTTTTTAAAAACAGCCCAGACATCTGAAAATATATTAAGAACTACCTTTTATTAGAGTTCCCTTTTCCTGGGTTTTCATATCAATCCATTTAATACTTTCTGCATTGAGATTCATCCAAAAGACAGTCTGTGATACAAAATCGTAGTCAATGGAAAAGATAATGACATCATGATCAACTCTCAAGATAACATCCTCTTTCATGGTCCTTAATCCGAATACAAGTAAGTCAAACTGAACTGCAACTAGCAGTGATGGCTCAGAACCTATGGGAAAGACAAAACTAGTTACTTTCCATGCAAAATATGTATAAAGTGCAACCACCCAACGATGTAAATTAAGGGAGAAGAGGTAGGAAATAGTTTAACAAGTCATCTTTTAATGAGTGATGTTTATTCTTCCACTCTATTCTTTGTTTTCTATTATTTAGCACTGCACTCAAATTTAGACACAGCAAATATACACACAAAACAGAAAGATTCTAAAACCATTTGAGAAAAACACCAAAATAATTCACTATTATCTTATTCAGATGGTGGGTTGCCTTGTTTTTGCTGATAAAAACAGAGGCTATTAACCAAATAATGGTCTGGAAAATCTCCAAAATCATTGTTGAAAAACGATGGATGCCTTTGAAGATTTAGCCTGAAGTGGCAATCCTAAAATAAAAACATGGAGAAATGGGCAACTCCCATGATTTTTGTTTGTTTTTGGTTGACTTTTTATTTTATGGAAAACGTCTCTTAAATTCAGGCTTGACTTCTGTTTAAGATACTATTTTGCTCTAGGGAACTATTCAAACTTAGTTATTTGCCTCTTAGGTTTTCTCCATAAGGTCACCAAAGTCATTTCATGCTGAATGTTACTTGCCACTCAGCCCTATCAAGAAACTGCTAAAGGTGCAGGGAAAGGGCATTGTTCCTTTACTGCCAACAGGCTATTGCAGGGGTGGTTATTGCAGGGGTGGCTATTGCAGGGGTGGGCTGCAACTGGTTGAACAACCGGTTTGGTGATTTTGCACTTCGCATGCACACATGCCTAACGCACTTGCGTGCAGCATTCAAAATACAGAAATTGGAAGCTCAGCTGCTTACCTTCCAAGGCAGCCCTGGTAAGTAGAACAGCGGAGGTGTGAAAATCAGCCACGCAAATCAGCTGCACCAAAAAGAAGGAAATATAGGACAGGATAGGGCGGGGGCAGCTGATTGTTGGAACTACCGGTTCACCTGAACCGGTCTGAACTGGCAGCAGCCCACCACTTGGCTGGCTGCAGAATGGCTGCTAATTCTCATTGCTTTGAGATCTGAGTTATAGATCTGTTGCTTTTAGCTGATGTTCCTGCAAGTTAGATCATTTGTGGGCCTAGGATTAAAAATGGCAACATGATCAGAGTTTCTATATTTTCCTAGGGGAGAATATGAAATAACACAGAACTGACTGTCCCTTTTTGTTCCTACTTAGAATGGATGCCTGTTTTGAACATTTCAAACTCAAAATGTTTTGCACATACGTTGTGTGAAATTCAAATAGGATCACTGCGGAATCAAAACACTAAACAACTATTTACTTTACCCAAAGTATTTATATTTCATTACGAATGCATTTTTTTAACTTTGTCAGATTTTTCTTTCTAAACTACCATAATGGCTGCAATCTTAGCAGGGAAGGCAGCCTTTACTTGGATGAGATCACCATAGAGAGCAGGGGTTCCTAATCTTTTGCCACACACCATCCTTTTGTGTAATCTTAATGTATACACACTCCCCTAAAAATCCAAGTACGAAAATGAACACAAATGAACAAGGGAAACAATGAAATTTGGGAGGAAATGGATATATTGTAACAATATAACTAAAACATTCTTTAGATCTCAACTGAATTTGGTTCCTTCCCAAGGGAAGGAACTCTCTGTGTTTGGGAAACCCTGATCTAGGAAGTTAGAGGTCTTTGCCCACCTAAAGGTAAATATTCCCACTATCTAGTTGTGTCGAAGATTCTAGGGGACGGTGCTCATCTCTATTTTTTACCCAAGGGAGTCAGTGTCGTCTGAAGACATTTCCATGCTCACATGGCCAGAATACTATATGCTGAGGTGCACAGAATGCTGTTACCTTTCCACCAGAGTGGTACCTATTTATTTGCACTGGCATGCTCTCAAACTGCTAGATGGGCAGGAACTGGGGGAAGTAACACGAGCTCACCCCAGGCTCCGGTCTCAAACCCAGGCTCCAGCTGAGCTTTCACACACACCTTCTTTATCCACCTAATACAATCCTCCAGCTTAATAGTACAAAGCCAAAGGGACTTATTTCAAGACTTCTTACCCAGAAGGTAAAGCTTTCTATGTTACATTTGCCTTCAAAAAAACTGTGTGTGTTCACTAAATTTGAATCATATAGATTCAATCAGTGGAAAGCCAATCAGTAGACGGGAAGAATCTTACCAACTACTTTACATGTGTGGTCATCAGGCTCCAGTAAATATCCAGGGTGGCATGTGCAGTAGTAACTGCCTTCTGTATTGACACAGGTCTGGCTACATTTATCAACTGACAACTCTTTGCATTCATTGATGTCTTTGCAAGAGCGCCCATCACTATTTAGCTTGAACCCCTCATTGCAAGCGCATTGCTGAAAATTAGAAAACATGCATTATTGTCTAGGTAAATTTTCACAACTTCTCTTTTTCCTCTCTCTGCACTCCAAAGGTTGCTACTGGAAACTCAGAATCCAAATACAAATTGAGATTTAATTCACAAGTATGCATTTAAGTAATACATTTGAAGGCATTGGGGTTTCCAATTATTTTTTACTAAAGAATTTTTTTACAAAGTAAAACAATTCAAGTTTAAAGGAAAAAAAGGAGAAAGTGATAATAGAAATGAAAGAAAAAAAGAACAAAAGATATAAAGAGTAGCTTCCAGATTTCTTTTAAAAAGTTACAAATGCATTTATACTTATTCTCTTGCTCTAAGGAAGGGAGTGTCCAACCTTGGCAACTTCAAGAGCTATTGGCTGGGGGAGTTATGGGAGTTGAAGTCCACAAGTCTTAAAAGTTGCCAAGGTTGGACACCCCTTCTGTAAGATTACAAAGGGGCTCCCCTTTCCAAACTTTCAATCTGCTTGCATTGCTTGATGCTGTTTTTATGATGTAATGGTAATCATCTCACCAGGATTACCCATCAGTAACTGCTTTGAGTTCTTTTAAAATTATGTTTAGGTCATCAACAAGATAATTTTAACTCCTGAAACTTTTCTGGTATCTTTTTCTATTGAGTGCCATTTTTCCAAATATCAGGGATTTCAACAACTCTTGGCTTTGTACTGCTTGTTCAAAACATTTTATAGTTGTAGTTTAGTTACTAACACTTTCAATGAACAGTCTTATTTTCTTTTACCTACTTTTATGTTATTGGTTCTCACAATCCAGGTTATTCTGAGATATGGCCTCCAGAACCAGAGTTTGAAAGTATACTTCTTTATTCAGCCAATCAAACTATAATGCAACTTTTACATTACAACTGGAAAAACTATTGCCTTGATCATATATTCCTTTGTTGCCAGCAAGATGCCTTTGCATTTTAATACTTTGTCCAATCCGTCATAATCTTCCCCAAGTATTTCTCATTTTGTCATGGCTACAATCACTATCCTTGTAAAAAAAAATTAGCTTAAGATGACAAACCCTGTTGCTTTAATAGTAGCAATGAGTCCATATTGTATTATTATTTGAGATTGGACATCTATTTTTCATTTTTTGAAAGAATTTTAGAATAGAGCCTAGGAAGAAACAAATCTCCTTAACCCATTATTTGTTTTTACAATACATTCAGTTTAAAATGTACATGTTGTCCATTTTTAAACAGTTGTCCATGTTGTACATGTCCATTTTTAAACAGTAACATCATCAACATACTAATGCTGGTCTTTACTTACAGGCCCACTAGGAGATTTGTAACAAATGTGAGCGCATGATTTTTGGCATGGCATGGCACAATGGCTGCCTTCATCCATTCCATCTTGGCAATCAGATTTCCCATTGCAGGCCAAAATATAATTGATACAGGTATCATCACAGTGAAATTCATAGTCATAGCATTTCCTGGGATTACCTGGAAAAGCAAAGAGGAGTTCAAGATTCTAGTTTTAATGCAATTATAAACAAAATAACCATTGAAATCTAATGAAGCATAAGCCAAACTGAGTATGTCTTTTCATGTGATTGATCTGGAATAGGGTAGGTAAGAAGAATGTAAGTCAACAAAGAACTTGAAGAAAAATCTGGAACTTTGTTGTTATAAATGTTGAGCGAAGCAAGAATGCTCTATGCATAAAAATAGAAATATATCCTAATTCCCACACTAGAAGAGGGCTGGCTGAAAATTGATGGAATTAAAAGAGCCAAGGTGGCACAGTGGTTAGAGTGCAGCCTTGCAGGCTACTTCAGCTGACTGCTAGCTGCAGTTCGGCAATTCAAATCTCACCAGGCTCAAGGTTGACTCCTTCTGAGGTGGGTAAGATGAGGACTCAGATAGTTGAGGCCAATATGCTGACTCTTTAAACTGCCTAGAGAGGGCTGTAAAAGCTGTATGAAGTCTAAGTGCTATTGCTATTAGCAGAGATGGCCAAATTAACTGCTTTAATCAAAGAAAAGGATACATCCAATGTTGCTTCTATTTGG